GGGGGGGGGCGACTTGCATACACGTGCGTGCAATTTATGTCTCCCCACGTGTACAGAAGAAGATGCTAACAAAATGACCGTGATCACGCTATGGAAGGGGCCTGTTTCTGGTCAAAAATCTTCTACCGTAACATTTTAATTTGTTTTAGATTTTGCCTGTGTTTTATACGTCCATACTTTTAAATTGTGCAATGGTCTGATGCAAATAAAGGCTCTCAAAGCATTATTCCCCCCCTTTTTAAAAAAGGGTTCTGCTTCTAAACTTTTCAGAACAAAGCTGTGAGAAATTGCCTCACCTAACCACCCTGAGGGAAGAATGCTCGGAGTTGTAGTCCCAAAAAAAAAGGGAACTTTTCCTAACTTGGGTGCAGACCCGTCCATCTCATGAGGGCAGCACTTAGAAAGAGAGGAGCAGGAGGGCCTGAGACCCAGGAGGGAGGGACAGAAGGATGTGGGGGACTATGTGACAGGATACACAAGCAGAGAAGACTTTATGGTGCCTGATAGACAACAGCTTTCTTACTGTAAGGACGCACAATCAGGTTCTCCCTCCCGCCCACCCCACTGTTCGAGATGTACGCAAAGTCCAAGTTCCTTGCTCTGCATTATTCATTTTTGCTGTTGCTGACCCTGGAGAAGGAGCAGGGCCAGGCTTTGTGAGCACCACAAGGCATGCCCCCTTCTCTCCCCCACCCCCATATAAAAGTGTTTATTTAATTGTGAGGGCCTACATTCTGAGATGCAGAGGCTTAGACGCTCATTCTTTTGTCTCCTCCCCCAGCCTTTTCCCCCCCTTTCACTGGCTTGGGTTGGCACTCCATGCATACCCAAAGATTTGTGATATGGTCCAGAGTCATCGTCATAGATAGGACCACCTCCTGCAGCTCAAGCTGTCGGACGTACAATGTGGCTCACGGTGCAGAGCCCCCCGTTTCTGATTTTTGTATAACACGTTTCCCATGGCTGGCAGGGTGAACCACAGCTGACGATGGCCACCTTGTATGATCATTTCGCTTCCCTCTCTGTATGCAAAACCCTGGTTGTTGGAGGCAGCCTGGGGCCACTTGCTCTGAGGAGGCCCAAAACTTATTTTGGGGGTATTGAGGTTCAGTTCCTTCCCTGTGATGGTCATCTGGGGCCACCATGGTCTAGTATGCGTTGTGCACAGAGATGAATATATTCACTAGAAGGGCAGAGGGTCCCACTGAGGTTTTTATGCCACTTCACAACGGGAAATGGCTTGCACTGGCTTCCTAATTTCTGGCCATTCACCACTGAGAGACTTACAGCAAATGAGTTGCACCATCAGGCATAACAAATTTGGTCTTTTTTAAAAAAAAATCTTAAAGGGGGGTTTCCCGATAATGGGACTACGAGATGTGGGATGGCTCAAAGTTTAAGGGGGTATGCTAGGACGGATGGGCCCAAATCCTGTTGTTTGGCCTAGTAAATTGCCCTAGAGTACATCCATTGAGTGGAGGGGGATTCTGGGGAGTCAGCTTTCTAAGTTCCATTGATTCAATGGGCCTACTTCAGTTGTGACTTACTACACCAAGTTGCACGCTTTCCCTCAGGGTCTGCTTGCGCATCCTTTGTGCTTAACCATGAGGTCCTTTTTTATTCCTTGCCTCCATCCCTTGACCCATGCCTTCCTTGACGCTGGAAGGGGACCATGAACTACTTTCCTGAGCTGCGGGCTGCTGGATCGTGGTTTAGGGGAGCTAGAGTTTGGGACTTCAATTCCCCCCTTGACAGGGGCTGGATTCGACCAGCCCTTGACAGTCCCTTCCAGCTGTGGAATGGAGGCGTTACTAGCAGCACATTCTCTCTGAGCCATTATGACTGTGATGGTGTCGTTACCCCCATGCATTCTGGAGGACTGTGAACCTCTTGACCATTGCTCTGAATTTTCCTTTTAAATAGTTGCTTCCTTTCAGAGAACTTTCCTCTTGTTCCAGATCCATGTGACTCTGCTGGACTTACCACTTTCCTCCTTGCATCTAAATGACATCTGATACCACAAGGCACGCTGCGGTTTCCTCTTGGTTTCCGCCACTGCTATATCTCACTCTAGGTCCTCTTGGGCCACATCCCTGGCCAGTTCCATTGCGCCATCGTGTATATAGCGACCGCTGCCTGGAAAGCAGGGAGACCGTCTCCAAGACCTTTCCGTTATTTTCTGTGAATGTGGGGCTGCAGTGGCGTAAGGAAGGGCCGCTAGGAAAGGTTCTCTCTTCCCCCACCCCCCACCAGCCCACATTGTGGCTCAAAGGAGGAAACGGAGGGCTACTGCAAGCCGTAGGGCAAGGTCAGGAAATCCCTCGGCTGCCGTGCCGCTAGGCACCTGGGGTTCAGCCATGTCGAAGGGGAAGTTTCGTAACCGGAGGAAGTGGTTGAGTTCCAAGCTGGCTCGGGACCTCTTTTGAGCAACGAGCCTGTGAGCCAGGGTGGCCAGATGGGCTTGCTCAAGAGGCCAGGGCTCCAAAGGGGGGGGTGGCATTACTCTGGCCATGGTGCTCTTGCATGACTGGACAGCCCCCCCCCCCGTCAGGTAAGATCCGTGGCCCTCCTGTTTGCTGCCTGCTTGGCCTCCAAGCCAGATAACGGAAGGGACACGGGGGTGATTTTTGGCTTCGCTCCGCTCTGTGCCAAGAATCCCGGGAAGGGAACAGCATTGGAAAGCAGGGAGACTCAACAGGGAACCCTACCGGTTGGGTCACGGGGTCAAGGACACCCAAGGGTTCCCTCCCTTTCTTCGCCACTGTGAGCGTCCAGGCAAAGACACTCCTACAGAAGTGCAGACATCCCCCCCCTCACATTTCATAAATAATTTTAGTCTATCTTTTCATGGGACGGCACTGAGGAAATGGCACTTGGCTCCAAGGTAAAGCAAGGTGTGTAGACAGCCATTCAGGTCTAAATCGCTGGCAACAAAAGCGAGTACA